AGTGCTCTTTATTGGCCTTCTCTTATTAGTACATCATCCAGATAAATGGCAAACTTGGGGTAGCCCTTCTAAAATCATGGTCCACTGGAAAAGGGCTCAGGCTGATGGTATCCCAAATGACAGTCTTGTATATTGATATAAAATCAATATGGATACTTCTGGGACTCCTCATTCTGTCACAGGTGCAGGTAGGCATGGCTCATGCCCAGCTTCATAAAGGACCATTTCCCCCCCCCCAACCTCCTCCAACTTTGCGTACAAGTCCTCTCTGCGAGGGATTGGGTATTTATCCAGTTGCGAGAAGCGGTTTGTTTGCTTAAAATCCCCACAAAAGGTGAACCAAGCCATCAGGCTTCACAATCAGTAGAACCGTTGCTGCCCATTCTGCAAACTGCAGTGGTTTCAGGATTCCTTCACTCGCCAGCCTCCTGATTTCCACCTCTACTGCTGCCCACAAGGCAAATGGCACAGAGTGGGTCTTGCAACATGTCAGAACTGCATCCTGGTCAACATGTTTTCTATACATCTCAACCCAGCCCACAGGGGATAGAGGAGCAGATATGTACTCAGATACTGGAAAGGTGTGGAAAAAAAAAGCAGGATAGTTGTGGTGGGTGACTTAACTTTCTTCTTATTCACTTGGGACTCCCTCGGAGCCAGGGGATCGGATGGAGACCAATTTGTTAGATGCGTCTAGGAGGGTTTTTTGAGACAGTATGTTGACAATCCAACCAGAGGAGGCCATACTAGACTTGGTACTAGGGAATGAGCCAGGACAGGTGATCGATGTTTCAGTCAGAGCGCATTTTGGGCTTAGTGACAATATCTTAAGATTTCAATTAGTTATGGATAAAGACTAGAGTGGGCCTTGGGCGAGGATGCTTAATTGGGCAAGGGCCAATTACAACCAAATTAGACAGGAACTGGGGAATGTGGATTGGAGCAGTTATTTGAGGGCAAATCTACATCTGGCATGTGGGAAGCTTTTAAAGACCAGTTGATTCAAGTGCAGGACAGTGGTGTCCCTGCCAAACAAAGATAGGAATGACAATTCAGGAACCATGGATGACAAGGGAAATTGTAAGCGTTGTCAAAAGGAGAAAGGAAGCATATGATAGGTCGTGGCAGCTATGAACTGACGAAGGTCTTGAGGACTGTAGAGAAATTAGGAAGGAACTTAAAACGTGGAATTAGAGAGGCTAAAAGAAGCCATGAAATGTCTTTAGCAAATACAGTCAAAGAGAATCCCAAGGCTTTTATGCATATATTAGAAGAAGGTAGCAGTGGAAAGAATAGGCCCACTCAAGGACAAAGGAGGGAAGTTATGTGTGGAGCCACTGCAAGTAGGAGAGATCCTTAATGAGTACTTTGTACAGGTAATCGTGGAGAAGGACATGACTGATGTGGAGATCAGGGATGTGTGTGAATACTCTAGAGAATGTTAATATATTGAAGGAGGAAGTTTTGGGTATCCTAAATTGCATTAAAGTAGACATCCCCAGGGCCAGATGGGATCTATCCCAGGTTCATGTGAGAGGCAAGGGAAGAAATAGCTGGGCCATTAGCAGATATCTTCACATCCTCTTTAACCACAGAAGTTTCCAGAGGACTGGAGATTAGCCAATGTTGTTCCCTTGTTTAAGAAAGGAAGCAAGGATAATTCAGGAAATTATAGGCATCTGTGGTGGGGCAGCTCTTGGAGAAGATACGGAGGGACAAGATATATCTTATACAAGATAAGATTATATGCATATAAGAAAATGGGTCAGTTAGTGATAGGCAGCATGGTTTTGAACAGGGAAGGTAATGTCTCACCAATCTGAATTTTTTGAAGGAGGTGACCAAGATAATTAATGAGGGAAGGGCTGTGGATGTAGTTTATATGGATTTTTAGTAAGGCATTTGATTAAAATCCCACATGGTAGATTAGTACAAAAACAATATCACATAGGATTCAGGGTGAGCTCGCTAGATGGATACAAAACTGGCTTGGTCATAGAAGACAGGAGGTAGCGGAGAAGGGTTTTTTCAGAATGGAGACTGGTAACTTGTGGTGTTCCAGAGGGATCAGTCTTAGGGCCTCTTTGTACTATATATAAATGATCTGGAGGAAAATGTGGGTGGTCTGATTAGCAGTTTGCAGATGATGCAAAGATTGATAGAGTTGCTGATGATTGTGAAAGGATACAACAGGATATAGATAGACTGGCAACTTGGGCACAGAAATGGCAGATAGAGTTAAATCCAGACAAGTGTGAGGTGATGCATTTTGGACAATCAAATTTAAGTGTGAATTATACTGTAATTCAGAACCCTTAGGAACATGCACACCCAGATCCATCTGAATGTTAAAGTTCAGTTTCCTAAAAGTGGCAACACAGGTGGCCAAAGTGATTAAGGTATACGGCATGCTTGCCTTCATTGGTCAGAGGATGGAGTACAACAGTTGGCAAACCATGCTGCAGCTATATAAAACTCTTGTTAGGCTGCATTGATTATTGTGTGCAGTTTTGGTTGCCACACTACCAGAAGGATGTGGAAGGAGAGGGTGCAGAGAAGGTTCACCAGGATGTTGCCTGGTCTTGAGGGCATTGGCCAAGAGGAGACGTTAAAAAGACTAGGATTGTTTTCACTGGAAAGACGGCAGCTGAGAGGAGACCCTATAGAGGTCCACAAAATTATGAGGCATTAGATAGGGTTGATAATCAGATTTCCCCCCGGATTGAAGTTTCAATTACAAGGGGGCACAGGTCAAAAGGAGAGAGGGCAAAAGTTTAAGGGAGATGTGCGAGGAAACTTTTTCCACAGTGTGGTAGGAGCCTGGAATGCACTGCCAGAGGATGTGATAGAAGCAGGCAGGTTGGTGACATTTAAGAGGCATCTGGATGGTTACATGGATAGGAAGAGAATAGAGGGATATGGACCAAATAAGGGCAGAAGATTTGTTGTTCAGTCCAGTTAGGGCACGATGATCGTCACAGGCTTGGATGGCCGAAGGGCCTGTTTCTGTGCTGCTGTTCTCTTGTTCTTTGTATGTAAAGTAGCTTTGGCCCCTTTGATTACCCAAGCCCTTCTCAAAAAAACTGCTGGTTATTTCGTTAGGACTGCACTAAGGCAGCCATTTTCCAATTGAAAAATGTTTTCTCAACCAGTCCCACCCTAATAGGCTTGGGCCCAAGCCTTTTACTACCATCAGTGGTAACTGCACCAACTGCTTCTCATAAGAGACTGGAACCGAAGTCATACCTTTAATTTGCAACAGTTCCCCAGCACAAGTTCAGTCTGGTTGAGGTCTTGCACAAGCTTGAAGGTTGGAGTCCAAAGCAAGTCTTGTTAAAGACAGATTCTGCAATCACCTGTGCCAGTGTCGACCTCCATGGTAACTGGGGGACCATTGAACCAAATATTAATTTTAATTGGTTGATTTGGGTGTCACTAAGCAATTTAATTGTTCCAACCCACATGTAGGGGAGCTTTCCAGGGTGTGCACTCTCCTGGATACCAACTTCTGAGTTTTCCTGGTCAAGTCAGGCCTTGTAGGACTCCTTTTCTGTCTCAAGTCCAAATACTGGCAGCAACTACAGTGGCTGGCCAGCCCAGATCCTGAAGAACTGTTTAACCACTTGGCCAAGGCTTGGCTTTGTTGTAGGGTTCTGCTATGACTTGGCCTAGAGTCCCTCTGCTCAGGACACACCCTGCAATTGCCTACTCAAGTGTTGTTCCCAAAGCTCAGTTGGGCAGGTGAGGGTGTCCACTTCTATCAGGATGCCCTGTAATTCCTATGCTGCACTTGCCACATTTTCTAATGAGTGCCTGTTTGAAGTCGAGTTGGGCTTCAGCTAGTAAGCACTTCTGCATGGTTACATTATTAATCCCATATACCAAATGGTCTCTCAGCACCTCATTCAGATGAAAACTAAAATCACATGCTTCTGCCAGTCACCTTGTCAAGAATCCCAATGCCAATTCCCCTGGTTCTCTCACAGCCAAATAAAACTGACAGCATCTCTTGATTAGAGGTGGTTTGGGGGTCATAATATTCCTTCACCAACTTTCAACTCTTGGAAGGTTTTCATGTGTTGTGCCTCTGGAAACAGTAAGCCCCTTATAAACAAAAATGCTGGGGGTCCACATGCATTCAGAAGGATTACTCATTGCTTTACGTGTGCTCCAGTGTCATTTGCAGAGGCAGGGGGTGGGTGGAGGAAAAGAAAAGAAACATATGCTTTCCACACACTGGGCCCAGTGCTCAGAATGGAGGCGGGGGGCGGGGGGGAAGAGAAATAAGCAATCTGTCAACAAAGACAGCAAATGAGTCACTTCCCAAATGGAGGCATGATGCCTGATGCCTGAAGCCTGAAATGCTTACCCAATTCCAAGATGACTGTTGCAAGCAAATATTCTTAAGGCATGTGCTATTTTTAACCTGTTGTCAGTAGAATACCTGCATAGAGACCAGTATCCTCTCACCAAATTTTTTTTTTTTTTTTTTTTTTCCCCTCACTCTCTCTTTTCAGGTATGCAACTAGCTTGGAGTCACTTCCCAACTGAGGAGATGCTAAATCCCCTGGTTATATGGGTCAGCCAGAGCTTCCCTGATTGGACCAGGTTAACAACCCCGATCAAGAACCTTGTAGTTCACAAGGTCCACCTGGTCCCAATCACCACAAGGGAAAAAACAGGAAAGTGGAGTTGAGAATTATCAGATCAGCCATGAGCTCATTAAATGGTAGAATAAACTTGATGGGCTGAATGGCATACTTCTGCTTCTAAATCATATCGTTTTATGTCATCAAAAATGTTTCATAAAAAATGTTTTAAATGATATTGGCTGTTATATAATGTGGGTGTGGGGTGAGATGTGTGAGAGTGGAGATGTCTGGCCTGGGGTGATCTGAAATTATGATAAAACCCTCCCCCAGGTTCCCATCCTTGTGTGAAGAAATTACAAGGCAATCGATTGCTTATGACTTCCTACCTTTTTCCATTCTGAAAGCGATTCAACGTGACTAGGGAGGGAGCCGGTGCGAAAGGATCACGGGAGATGTAGTTCTCGATGCGGATCGACATTTGTAATCTTCTGTTACTTTGCGTCAGCGACGGACTACATCACCCAGCATGTCTTGCCGGGTGACCAGACACGCAGGAGCAGCGTCAGAGCGTTCGCGGGACCAGCACTGCAGCCGGCGGCAGGCGCTGAGCGGAGCCCGGGAGCGGCCGAGATGTCCCGGTCAGTCTGCACCAGCCTTCCCGGCTCAGAATCGGGAAAGGGTATTGCATGTTCCTCCCCAACCCATCATCCCCCTGCACAGCAGACCCCCCCCTTCCCCATCAAGCCCCCCCCCCTTCCCCATCAATCCCCCCCCCTCTTCCCCATCAATCCCCCCCCTCTTCCCCATCAATCCCCCCCCC